TGGCAGTTCTTGTTTTGCAGGTGCAGCCGGGTGTGTAGCAACGTTGCTCCACGATGCAGCCATGAACCCTGCCGAAGGTAATGGTGATCCTGGCCTGCTGGGGAGGGGAGGACTGGGGGCTGCCTGGGCCGCTCAGGTCCCCTCTGCGGCACAGAGGGTGCTCTCGTTGCTGGCCCAACTGCAAGGATCCGTTGGGGCCCAGTGGCTGCGGCTCTGGTTAGGGAGCCCGGTGGCTGCCCGTTACAGAGATGGTAGGTAGAAGAGATTAATTCTGGGGACAGTTACCTGGAGCAGGAGAGAAGGCAAGAGAGACGTGATCTGTACTGCTGAAGTCATTCCGAGTTTGTGGAAATCAGGCATTGCTGTGGTGAGATCTCGGGAAGATGCGGTGCAGTTCTGGGCCTGTCTTCAGGAAGAAAATGAAAAGAATGGGGTACAAAAGGCACACTAGAGGAGTCAGGAGAAGGGAGACCTTATGAAATGTCTGGAAGACGCTAATTTTGTTGAGCCTGGTATGTATGGAAAAGGCAGAGGGCGTTTGCAATTAAGGTCTAAACGTGGTGGGAAAAGGAGGAGGAACAAGGAGATACCAGTCATGAATGTATTTTTTCCTCTTAAAACGGGAGAGCTCGTGGCAGTGATCCACGAGCTCCAGCTGATCTGGGCGCAGCAAGGCTCCCACCTGCCCGCTGCCTGGCTGGGACCCTGAGGAGCAGGCAGCTGCGTGGCCAGACCATTGCCATTCCTTCCCCGGAGCTTGTATTCTTACCACAACTGTAGTAGTTGGTAGGCACATCTGGTTTAGCTCCTTAGGGTCACCTGGAGCGAGGGGGAGTCAGGATAGTGGCAGGCTGCGCGCTGAGCTCCCCTGCACCGCTCTTGGATGTGTCGGCGGGAGGTGGTGTCTGGTTCTTTCCCCGGAGGGCTGTGTTTGGGCAGTGGCTGCCAACGATTCCTGGCTGGTGGATTCTGCGATGCGCTGTGATTATTCTGGGCTGCAGTGAGGGCAGCTAGGGAGGGATGGGCTCGTCCAGATCGAGAGCTGTCTGGACAGAATAGACGCAGAGGGGTTTTTCCTGCTTGCACAGTAGCTCTGCAGTGGTGGATGGGGAGACCTCATTTGCTTGGGAGCGAGGGTGGATCTGGAGTAGCAGGGTGTTTCCTGGGGCTGCGGCAGATGTGGGCTTTGCAGGTGGCGGTCCCTCAGCAAATCTAAAGGCGTCAGTTTTCCCCAGGGACACACAGGGCACTGCTGGTCTGAGTTGTCCGTCACTGACTCTTAAGCCGGCGTGACCGAACTCTGGGCATGTGGACAAAGCTTTACGCTTACCCTTTCTCTCTCCTCTTCTCCCTCATCCCCCGGCACCTGGGTCCTGGCTGCTGCTGCTGGCTGCCGCCGTCTGTCCCAAGTGGTCAAACAGAGGATGCAGATGTACAACTCGCCTTACCAGCGTGTGACGGACTGTGTGCGGGCTGTGTGGCACAACGAAGGGGCCGGAGCTTTCTACCGCAGCTACACCACCCAGCTCACCATGAACATCCCCTTCCAAGCCATTCACTTCATGACCTACGAGTTCTTGCAAGAGCAGCTCAACCCCCACAGACAGTACAACCCTGGCTCCCACGTGGTCTCCGGAGCCTGCGCGGGGGCTGTCGCTGCCGCTGCCACTACACCTTTGGACGTTTGCAAAACACTGCTCAACACCCAGGAGTCCCTGGCCTTGAGCTCCAACATCAGCGGACACATCACAGGCATGGCCAATGCCTTCAGGACGGTGTACCAAGTGGGTGGCGTGACCGCCTACTTCAGAGGGGTCCAGGCGAGAGTCATTTATCAGATGCCCTCGACGGCGATCGCCTGGTCCGTGTACGAGTTCTTCAAATACATCCTCACCAAGCGCCAGGAGGAGCGGCGGGCTGGGAAGTGAGCCAGAGCCGAACGCCGTTCCAGACCTGCTCCACCTCCCCTCCTGGTTTGTCTTCTGACCCCTCTCCCTTTCCGTTCGGTTTGTGTTGAAGAGAGGGGGCAGCGAAGCCCTTCGGGGTCTAGCAATGCCATTTCTTGCCTGTGGCTGCTGCAGCTCTGCTCAGGCTGCACGGCTTGCTCTCTCCCAGGGTCCTCCGCGATGTCCCACAGGGAGCTGCAGCCCAGGTCATGTCCCCTGGCACTTCGGTGGAGCTGTGCTCCTGTCCTAACAAAAACCTCCTCTCATGCAAAGCTCGCCTCTCCTCGGAGGCGCCCCGGCCTCGGCCGGGCCAAAGCTGAGCTCCCAGTCGCCAGGGAGGGGGTGGCGGCGCTGCCCGGGATGCTTGTCTGGCTTTTGGCTGAAGCGAAGTGTAAGCCTTGCCGTTGTCTTGTAGCACGCACACGTGATGCTGACTGCCCCGGTGGTGGTGGTGGGAGGATGGCACTTGAGGAGGGGAGCCTGTAGGTTTGTTATTGTTCCTGCTCTTGACACCTCCAATAAAAACAGTTCTGCTCTATCCTCATGTCCCCTCCTTACTCCTGCACGGCCCAGCTCCTGGCACCGTGCCTTTCTGACTGTGCCCGGTGCTGAGCTCTTTTGATGGGTGCCAGAGAGGAAGGGAAATGGGGCCGGGGGGGAGGAGGAGGCCTGCCTGGCGCAGCCACCCTGGCAGTGTGCCGAGAGGAGGGTGGTCCCCATCCCCTTTGGCTCATGGCTGTGACTCGAATGGAGCAGCTGAGGTTTATGCTCCCCAGCCAGGCAGTCCCGCACCCCTGGTCTGACCGGAGGTCTTGAGGATGCCTCCGCACCCCTCCTAATGGAGGGGAGGGCAGGAGAGCCCTGGGTTATGTGTGTTGGGGACAGCACAGGAATTTTGGCACTGGGTAAGGCTGGAGGGCTTTGTGCACCTCGCATGGGACATTTGGGGCTCAGCAGGGCTTTTACCTCCTCGTTTTGACTAATGAAACCAGTTTGTGCCTTGTTGGGCAATTTAAAACTATCAACACGCTTGAAATGCTGATGATTTTGTCTGATGATAATTAATAGAACAGCTTTTTTTATCATTTTGTTAGCTTTCTTGATGCCGACTTCCTTAGGGTCCCACCCAACTCTGGACCTGCGAAGCTGCCTCAGCAGGCCGTGTGCTGAGCACCGAAGCATCACCTGGTCGCGCTGACCTCCCTAGAGCAGAGCTCTGGGTTCCTCGAGCTGGGTGCCACGGGTGACACTTGGCTCCCGCAGGACGCTCCCATAGTGCCCGCAAGAGAGGCGTCCGGAGGAAGTGCGTTCACGGCCATGGTATGTGCTGCTGGTGAGCATCTCTGTTGGCTCGGGGCTGCTGCAGAGGATCCGCCAGCCTGGCTGGCACAGAGGGCTAATGAGGTGGGCTGTGGTAAGGAGAACAGTTTTCCTGCGGCTGGAAGGGCTGCTGGGGGAGCTGGGGAGGCCGCACCATCCTCAGGGGCATCGGGCTCTAGCACTGCTGAGGGGCAGGAGGGCAGGGACCCCCACACTGCAGGGCTGGGTGCTTGACACCCTTCCCAAGCCCCATCCCAGCCCCAGCTTCACCTTTCCCGTAAGCATCTCCCTTGTCCCTGGTTCCTGAGGGTGAGTGAGAGGTGCCAAGAGACCGGCAGTGGGATTTTTGATGGCTGCCC